CCTGACATACGCCTTTTCCAAATCCATAAATGCCACAAAAACTTCTTTAGCCTTATCTAAATACTGTTCACTTATATGTTTCACTGTAAACACCTGGTCCACACACCCCCTTCCTTTCCTAAAGCCTCCTTGTTCATCTGCTATCCTATTCTCCATCTTATTCTTAATTCTTTCAATAATAACTCTACCATACACTTTACCAGGTATACTCAGCAGACTTATCCCCCTATAATTTTTGCACTCTCTTTTGTCCCCTTTGCCTTTATGCAAAGGAACTATGCATGCTCTCTGCCAATCCCTAGATACCTTACCCTCTTCCATACACCTATTAAACAATAGCACCAACCACTCCAAAATTATATCGCCTCCTGCTTTTAACATTTCTATCTTTATCCCATCAATCCCAGCTGCCTTACCCCCTTTCATTTTACCTACTGCCTCACGAGCTTCCCCCACACTCACAACTGGCTCTTCCTCACTCCTACAAGATGTTATTCCTCCTTGCCCTATACATGAAATCACAGCTTCCCTATCTTCATCAACATTTAACAATTCCTCAAAATATTCCCTCCATCTTCCCAATACCTCTAACTCTCCATTTAATAACTCTCCTCTCCTATTTTTAACTGACAGATCCATTTGTTCTCTAGGCTTCCTTAACTTGTTAATCTCACTCCAAAACTTTTTCTTATTTTCAACAAAATTTGTTGATAACATCTCACCCACTCTCTCATTTGCTCTCTTTTTACATTGCTTCACCACTCTCTTAACCTCTCTCTTTTTCTCCATATGCTCTTCCCTCCTTGCATCACTTTTACTTTGTAAAAACTTCTCATATGCTAACTTTTTCTCCCTTACTTTTACTCCCTTTCTCCCTGTTACATACTGACATACAATGGACCCCCGCCTTACGATGGCATCGCATTACATTAAATCTGCCATACAATACATTTTAATGCAAAAATTTTGCCTCGCCTCACGCGATTCGTCCAGGACGTGTCCCACGCGTGGCCTCAGCTGCCCCATGCGTGCGAGTGTTTACAAGCCAGCCAGTGCGGTTGCATCCACGCATACATTCGGTACATTTCATATTATCACAGTGTTTTTAGTGATTGTCCTGCAAAATAAGTCAGCATGGGCCCCAAGAAAGCTTCTAGTGCCAGCCCTGCAGTAAAAAGGGTGAAAATTACCATGGAAATGAAGAAAGAGATAATTGCTAAGTACGAAAGTGGAGTGCGTGTCTCAGAGCTGGCCAGGTTGTATACCAAATCCCAATCAACCATCGCTACTATTGTGGCCAACAAAATGGCAATCAAGGAAGCTGTTCTTGCAAAAGGTGCAAGTTTGTTTTCGAAACAGAGATCACAAGTACTCGAAGATGTTGAGAGACTGTTATTGATGTGGATAAACAAAAAACAGATAGCAGGAGATAGCATCTCTCAAGCGATCATATGTGAAAAGGCTAGGAAGTTGCATGACGATTTAATTAGAAAAATGCCTGCAACTAGTGGTGATGTGAGTGAATTTAAGGCCAGCAAAGGTTGGTTTGAGAGATTTAAGAATTGTAGTGGCATACATAGCGTGATAAGGCATGGTGAGGCTGCCAGTTCGGACCACAAAGCAGCTGAAAAATATGTGCAGGAATTCAAGGAGTACATAGACAGTGAAGGACTGAAACCTGAACAAATGTTTAATTGTGACGAAACAGGCCTGTTTTGGAAGAAAATGCCAAGCAGGACCTACATTACTCCGAATGAAAAGGCACTCCCAGGACATAAGCCTATGAAAGACAGGCTTACTCTTCTCATGTGTGCTAATGCTAGTGGTGATTGCAAAGTGAAGCCTTTATTGGTGTATCACTCTGAAACTCCCAGAGCATTCAGGCAAAACAATGTCATCAAGGCTAATTTGTGTGTGATGTGGAGGGCAAACAGTAAGGCATGGATAAATAAATAAATAACAAAAAGGCACAATACCGTGACTGGAACGATACACAAATAACCCGCACATAAAAGACAGAAGCTTACGACGACGTTTCGGTCCGACTTGGACCATTGACAAAGTCACACTAACAGGGGAGGAGCAGGACGGCTATATATAGGCAGGAAGAGGTGGAGGTAGTAGTAGTGGTAGTAGTAGTAGTAGTAGTAGTAGTACAAGAATTGTATATAATACCGACAGGATGAAATGACACACGCACAACACCCGGGCATCCTCACCGTAGACGTCTCGCCATCCAGCCAGCCACTGGAGGCGAAACGTCCACAACAAAGACAACCAGACGCCGCACATGTGTCTAATTTCATCAGTAGTTGTAGTAGAAGAAGAGGTAGTGGTAGTGGTAGTGGTAGAAGTGGGAAATAAGGAAGACGAGCCAGTCAAATACAAAGGAAGGGGAGCACTGCAAGAGAGCTAGAAACCCACAGAGGGAGAGCAAGCGCACCGAGGTGCGTGAAAGGGGAAGTGGTGAAATAAAATAAAGAAGGAACAGAAACACGAGACAGGAGAGAGAAAGACAACTCAGAGGAGAAAAGGAGAGAGGAAAGGGGAAGAGGAAGAAGAAAAAGAAGAAGAAGAAGAAAAAATGAGGAATCAGGTTAAGTCACGGGTGTTCTGAAGTTTGGAGCATTTTACAATGTAGTGGGAGAGGAAGGCATCTACAGAGACGAAGCCAGGGCTAAGGTTCATACAAGGAAAGTTGTGTATAAGAGAGGATTCAACTAAACGGCGACTGTTCGAGTTGGAAGTAGGGAAGACAGTTTTAGCAGAAGACCAGTCAATAGGATGGCTATGATCTCTGACGTGACAGAAAAGAGCATTGTTAGTGTCGGCAAGCCTAACACTATTTTTGTGCTCCCTAAGTCTGTCAGAAAGAGAACGACCAGTTTCTCCAAAGTATTGAAGGCATGGGTCACTAGGGACCTTTTCTTTGACTGGTTACACCATGCATTTGCCCCCACTGTGAAAAATTACCTAATGGAAAAGAAATTGGACCTTAAGTGCCTCCTGGTATTAGACAATGCTCCTAGTCATCTTTCAGACTTGGCAGAGTGACTTTCTAGGGACATGAGCTTTATTAAGGTCAAGTTTTTGCCTCCTAATACCACTCCTCTTCTGCAGCCCATGGACCAGCAGGTCATTTCAAACTTCAAAAAGCTTGACACAAAACCTATGTTTCAAAAGTGCTTTGAAGTGACCTCAGACACTCGATTGACTATATGAGAGTTTTGGAAAGATCACTTTAGCATCCTCAATTGTGTAAAACTTATAGGTAAGGCTTGGGAGGGAGTGACTAAGAGGACCTTGAACTCTGCTTGGAAGAAACTGTGGCCAGAATGTGTAGACCAAATGGATTTTGAAGGGTTTGCGGCTATCCCTCAGGAGCCTATGCCAGTTGTGGAACCTACTGTGGCATTGGGAAAGTCCATAGGGTTGGAGGTTAGTGGAGAGGATGTGGAAGAGTTGGTGGAGGAGGACAATGAAGAACTAACCACTGAAGAGCTGAAAGATCATCTTTAACAGCAGGAGGCCAGACCTGAGGAAACTGCTTCAGAGGAGGGGAGAGAGAAATTGAGGTAGTTGCCTACTTCAAAGATTAAGGAAATGTTTGCAAAGTGAGTTGAACTGCAAACCTTTCGGGTGAAAATCACCCTGACACAGCTACTGCAAGCCGTTCTGGTGACTATTACAATGACAATGTTATGGCCCATTTTAGGAAAGTCTTAAAGGAACGGGAGGTACAGACCTCTATGGACAGATATGTTGTGCGACAGAGGTCCAGTGACTCTCAAGCTGGTCCTAGTGGCATTAAAAGAAGAAGGGAAGTAACCCCAGAAAAGGACTTGATACCCCAAGTCCTAATGGAAGGGGATTCCCCTTCTAAACAATTACAACTTCCACACTCCCCTCCTCCCATCCCATCAATCATCACCAGATCTTCAATAAAGGTAAGTGTCATGTATTGTATTCTTAGTAGATTATTATTTGCGCATGTCTTCTTAAGTTTGTGTGTATTAAAATTAATATTTCATATGGTAAAAAATTTTTTTTTTCATACTTTGTGGTGTCTTTCACGGATTAATTTGATTTCCATTATTTCTTATGGGGAAAATTAATTCGCCATATGATAATTTCGTCTTACGATGAGCTCTCATGAATGGATTAGTATCGTAAGGCGGCGTCCACTGTATTTTATTCATTCTAGAGTATATATCACGTTTCTGTGTTATTTATATTGTTTATTGTGTCAAATTAGATGAACTGTGATAGATAAATAAGCCGTATATATGATATTAGCGAAATTATTCAAAGAGTATTTTGTCCGGTCTCCAGACAAACTCTCATCTGCCAACGATACCACTACGTGAATGACATATTTTATTCATTCTAGAGTATATATCAGGTTTCTGTGTTATCTATATTGTTTATTATGTCATATTAGATGAACTTTAATAGATAAATAAGCCGTAGAGTTGATATTAGGGAAATTATTGAAGTACAGAATTCCATTGGAATGGATTAATTGCATTTCAGTTAATTTAAATGAGGAAAATCTACTCTTCAGACGAGCAAATCCAGATGCGAGCAACATCGTGGGACAGATTAAACTTATGAGTGGAGGTTCTACTGTACTTAGTTTATTCTATATTGAAGGTTTTCAGTAGTTTAGTAAAAAGTTCTAATTAGGGTTACATTAAGGATGAAGCTAGATGTCTGAGTTGGTACAAAACAATATCTTTCTAGTAATAAATGAGAGAGAGTTGAAGGAAGGATAGAACAAGAACAGGGACAGTATTGGATGATGGGGGTTTCATGACTCAAGTTTGGCTAATTAGTTTCCTTGAATTCCTTCATAAATGTTACTTGGCTCACGCTCCAACAACACCTCAAGTGCATCAGTTTTCTGTATATTGTGATATGTAAAAACAGTGCCAATTGTTCAGTGATTTTTTTGTTTTGTTTGTACTTTATATTAGTGGATCAGTTTGTGTGTAATATAGAAGAGCAATGTTGCTTGTTTACTGGAGTGTACAACATGGTCTTCCCTTCCAGCTGTACCTGCTACTTAAAGATTGGCCATTAGTGTCCCCAGAGATAGCTATGGAGCTGCTACAGTGCAAGATTGCTGACCCAACCGTACGCATGCATGCGGTAAAGTCTCTTGACAAAGGCCTTCCAGATGAAGGCCTCTTTCAGGTTAGTCTGCCTATAAGACACCCTGTAGCATTTCTTCTTCATATATATGGCTCTGCATTTTCATAATGTACAGTCAATCTGTACTTTATCAAATTCACAGTACTGGAGGGCCTCGCATATTCACCATGTTTTTGGTGGTTTTCTGTTGATCCATTGTTCATTATTTTTGCTGTTTTTCCACTTTTCTACTAGTTATCCACTGACGCCTATATAACCGTCAGTCTTCTTGCCTTTGCTCCAGATTCTCCACCACCACGATGCTGTGAACACCGACTCCAAGGCTGAGGGACTGATTACCTCACCTTTTGTATATAGTTCTACTGTCTTCTAATTATGTCCTAGAATCTGTAGTAATAAAGCCACTGGATGGCAAAACATCTACAGTAAAGATATCCAGATGTTGCACATGTATCTAAACTTTCAGAATTAGACTTGGAGCATTAATTTTGATTTTTGTTTTTCTCTAGTATTTGCTACAGCTGGTGCAGTGTCTGAAACACGAGCCCTACCTTGACTCCCCACTGCTGAGATTTCTTCTGAGGAAAACTTTGACCAATGCCAAGATTGGACACTTCTTCTTCTGGCAGTTAAAGTAGGTTTTTTGTTGTTGTTGTTTTGTTGTTGTTGTTGTTAACAAGTCGGCCGTCTCCCACCGAGGCAGGGTGGCCCAAAAAGAAAGAAAATCCCCAAAAAGAAAATGCTTTCATCATCATTCAACACTTTCTTCTCACTCACACATAATCACTGTTTTTGCAGAGGTGCTCAGAGCACAACAGTTTAGAAGCATATACGTATAAAGATACACAACATATCCCTCCAAACTGCTAACATCCCGAAACCCCTCCTTTAGAGTGCAGGCATTGTGCTTCCCATTTCCAGGACTCAAGTCCAACTATATAAAAATAACTGGTTTCCCTGAATCCCTTAACTAAATATTACCCTGCTCACACTCCAACAGCTCATTAGGTCCCAAATACCATTCCTTTCCATTCACTCCTATCTAACACACTCACGCATGCTTGCTGGAAGTCCAAGCCCCTCGCCCACAAAGCCTCCTTTACCCCCTCCCTCCAACCTATTCAAGGACGACCCCTACCCCGCCTTCCTTCCCCTACAGATTTATACGCTCTCCATGTAATTCTACTTTGATCCATTCTCTGTAAATGACCAAACCACCTCAACCCCTCTTCAGCCCTCTGACTAATACTTTTATTAACTTCACACTTCCAAATTTCCACACTCCGAATTCTCTGCATAATTTTTACACCACACATTGCCCTTAGACAAGACATCTCCACTGTCTCCAACCGCTTACTCGCTGCAGCATTTACAACCCAAGCTTAACACTCATATAAGAGTACCACTATGCTTTCATAAATTCCCTTCTTTGTCTCCATTGACAATGTTTTTTTTTTTGCCCCCAAATATACCTCAATGCACCACTCACCTTTTATCCCTCATCAATTTTATGATTAACCTCATCCTTCATAAATCCATCCGCTGACACATCAACTCCCAAATATCTGAAAACATTCACTTCTTCCATACTCCTTCTCTCCAATGTGATATCCAATTTTTCTTTATCTAAATCATTTGATACCTTCATCACCTTACTCTTATCTATGTTCGCTTTCAACTTTCTACCTTTACACACCCTCCCAGACTCGTCCACTAACCTTTGCAACTTTTTTTTAGAATCACCCATAAGCACAGTATCATCAGCAAAAAGTAACTGTGTCAACTCCCATTTTGTATTCGATTCCTCATAATTTAATCCCACCCCTCTCCCGAACACCCTAGCATTTACTTCTTTTACAACCCCATCTATAAATATATTAAACAACCATGGTGACACTACACATCCCTGTCTAAGACCTACTTTTACCAGGAAGTAATCTCCCTCTCTCTTCTACACACCCTAACCTGAGCCTCACTATCCTCAAAAGAACTCTTTACAGCATTTAGTAACTTACTACCTATTCCATATACTTTACTTAAAACATCTGCCACATTGCTCCCCTATCCACTCCATCATATGCCTTTTCTAAATCCATAAATGAAATAAAAACTTCCCTAGGCTTTCTTAACTTGTTTATCTCACTCCTTTTACCTATACGTATATCTGTTGATGAGGATCCCAAAAGGGGATCGAAATAAACAGACCAGTTAATCAGAGTTTCTGTCTCCATGTGAGTTATTATTGAGTATTGACAAGTTATTTATGTCTTGTTATATTTTTATTTATTATTTGCCTTATACTTTTTTGTTAATTTCCAAACAGTGCAAAGCCTGTGTGGGTCGTTCATGCAAGGATTAGTGCAGGCTCTATCCTCCATGTGTTAATAGCAAGGCATTAACTGCACTCTCATAGCCAGGCTTGCCCAGTGTGTTGTACAATGTTTAGTTATGATATTGTTGAATGATGTGGCATTCAACTAAGAGGAATACAGCCCAGTTGTATTATACAGTATATACTAGTTACTAGTTTCTTGAAAGATGAATCATACCACTAAGAGAAATACAGCCCAGCTGTGTTTACTGCAGGATAACTTAAGATTAAAAATCACTTGTATCATACTTGAATGTTGTTGTTTTTTATGTTTGATTTAATCTGCATCATCTCCATAGTTTCCCCTTTTCTCTTTTAAGGCAGTTTCCCATTTAACAATAATAATAATAAGATATAATAATATAGTAAATGAGAATTTTATATTCTTGAGTGGCTGTTCTTTCAAGAGCTTCACAAGTGCTTGCACATCAAATAATAAATAGTGTCTATGATAAAAAAAGAATAATGAAGTCTATAATCAAAAATGTTTATGTTAATAGAATTAGTGTATTTCAGTTAATTCACAATAACTTAACCTAATTTAAAATGGTGTGTATAGAAATGCTGGTATTAATTCATGTACAGAATTGTAGTAAAAAAAAAGCATTGTTTTAGTAGTTAGGACAGCTTTTTGACATATTAAAACCCGTAAACTCTAGCGGCTTCAGATTAAGCGGGAGAAAGCTGGTAGGCCTACATGTGAGAGAATGGGTCTGCATGATGGGTGTTTGCAGTATGAAAAAAATCAGAGACTCAGTGGTGCATTGTGGGAACGCCATTTTAGTAGTCCATTTTCACCATGCCTCGTGGTAAGAAGTACCTTACTCCTCACCGAATTGGAGGTCTTCTATTCCCAAGTGATAGTTTTAATACCGATGGAAGTGCCAGTGAAAGTGAATTCCATGGTTTTCAGGAGGGTATGACCAAAAGCAGTGCCCAGGATAACGTAATTAGTGATGAAAACCCAGATGACCCACAACCTTCCACCTCTGGTGCTGGGCTGTCTCATTCATGCTCACCTGTAACAGGGCAAAAGAGGAAACTATTTCCTCGTGTACAGGACTCAGATATGAGCAGTGAAAATTATAGTGATAGTGATTTCCAAGCTGTTGAAAGCACTTCGAGTTGCGACAGTGAGGGGGAATATTCTCCAGTGAAGCAGCAGTATGTGCGATGCAGCATGCACTCTGGTAGTGTGCCATATGCCATTCCAAGGGGAAGAGGGGAAGAAGTAAATCTCGGAGTGTATCCCGTGGCCCTGCAACAGAAACAATAGTGAAGATGATGATATTCTGACAATGGGGATGGCTAATGTGCGTGGGGCAGCAGGTGGTGGTGGTGTTACAGGTGTTGGCGGTGGCACGCCTCATGTGGCATCAGGAGTAGGCTATGCTGGTACCCACGCTGCTGTCTCACCCCAGCCACAACAAAGCCCACCCTCAACCACCCCCACACTCCCACAACCTCCACAATCACCTGTCAGTATCCAGTACCCACCATCAGACTGCATCTGGGATTGGCAGCAAGGTGCCAATTTTGTTCCCAATTCCCATCACTTTGATGAAACACAAAGTGGAATACGGCCATTGTGTACACTTGAGAACAATGCCATTGAACTGGAATGCTTTCAGTTATTCTTCGATGAACCCCTGATGGAAATTATTGTCAGGGAAAGCAACACATACTGCGAGTACACCATGGCAAACACAGTTCTTTCACCAAGATCACGGCTACATCAGTGGAAGGACACAACTGTGGCAGAGATGTACCTGTTCTTTGCCACAGTAATGCTTATGCTACATGTGTATAAGCACACTGTCACCACATACTTGTTGACAGACCGCCTGATTTCAACCACAGGTTTCAGTGATATAATACCAGTGAATCGGTTTCTGCTACTGTTATGTATGCTACACTTCTCAAGCAAAACAAGGCCTGACAGAAATGACAGGTCATATAATATCAGGAATGTGTTTATGTACCTGAAGCAAAGGTGCTGTATGTATTTTTATCCCTTCAGGAAGCTTGTTATTGATGAGTCATTGATTTTGTTCAAAGGTAGACTGTCGTTCAAGCAGTATATACCAAGCAAGAGGAAACGCTTTGGTATATATTTGTACTGTGTGATTGCAAAAGTAGTCTGGTTTTGAATATAATTGTGTACACTGGCAGCAATACATTGCAAGATACCAGGACATTATTGGGTATCTCTGGTGATGTTGTTAGAACAGTGATGGAACCATATCTTGGTAAGGGGCATATATACTGATAACTGGTACACAAGCCCCTTACTCAGTGATTTCTTGAGAGTGAACATGACAGACGTACGTGGCACAGCGTGTGGAAATGGTAAGCATATGCCTAGGTTCGATGCAGGCACTCACAGAGGTGAGGTGCAGGCATTTGCTGCCAGTGACATATCGGTGGCATGGCAAATGTGATGTTACATTGTTGACATCAGTTTGCTGAAACAAAATGGCAGACAGTGGCAGGCAGAATAGAGAGACCAATGAACCCATTCTAAAACCTGCAGCTGTGATGGACTACAACCTCAATATGCACTTAGTGGACAAATGTGACATGCAGATGGGGTTTGCTGATTGTGTACGCAAGAGTTATAAGTGGTACATAAAACTCTTTTTTCCATCTTCTTGACATTTCAATGCTGAATGCTTATAATGTACAGTGGAACCTCTAGTTGCAAGTTTAATCCGTTCCATGACCTTGCTTGCAACTGGATTTGCTCATTTGCAGAGTCAATTTTTCTCATTTAAATTAATTGAAATGCAATTAATCCATTCCAGTGCAATTCTGTACTTCAATAATTTCACTAATATCAACTTTACGGCTTATTTATCTATCTCACTTGATCTAATATGACATAATAAACAATATAAATAACAGAAACCTGATATATACTCTACAATGAATAAAATATGTAATTCATGTAGTGGTACGGGCGGTGTCGGCGGTGGACGACAGTTTGTCTGGAGACCGGACAAAATACTTCTTGAATAATTTTGCTGATATCATCTGTACGGCTTATTTATCTATCACAGTTCATCTAATATGACATAACAAACAATATTAATAACATAGAAACCTGATACATGTATATACTTTAGAATGAATAAAATATGTCATATGTGTGGCGGCAGTGGCGGCCAATGAGAGTTTGTTTGGAGACAGGACAAAATACTCCTTGAATATTTTGCTGTCATCAACTCTATGGCTTATTTATCTATCACAGTTCATCTAATATG